AGGCTGGCCCTGCTGACCCCAGCGGGCGGGTGGCCGGGCTGTCTGAGCGGCGGGCGCGCGAGGGAGCACTTTACACTGCGTGCCTCCTCTTCAGCTCCCTCGCGCACCGCACTGATGCCGGAGCCGGAAGATGACGTCATCTTCCGGCGCCGGCATCCCTACGCGGCGCGCGAGGGAGCTGAAGAGGAGGCACGCAGTGTAAAGTGCTCCCTCGCGCGCCCGCCGCCCAGACAGCCCGGCCACCCGCCCGCTGGGGTCAGCAGCACCACTGGACCCCAGGGAATCCCCCCAGCACTCCAAAGGGTAAGGAGGCTGGGGGGATTAAATTTGAAAAAAAGTGTGTGTGTGTTAGTGTTAGTGTGTTAGAGTATGTGTGTTAGTGTGTGTTAGTGTATGGGTGTGTTAGTGTATGTGTGTGTTAGTGTATGTGTGTGTTAGAGTATGTGTGTTAGTGTGTGTTAGTGTATGTGTGTTAGAGTATGTGTGTTAGTGTGTGTTAGTGTATGTGTGTGTTAGTGTATGTGTGTGTTAGTGTATGTGTGTGTTAGAGTATGTGTGTTAGTGTGTGTGTGTTAGTGTGTGTTAGTGTATGTGTGTGTTAGAGTATGTGTGTTAGTGTGTGTGTGAGTGTGTGTGTGTGTTAGTGTGTATGTGTGTTAGTGTGTGTTGAGTGTATGTGTGTGTTAGTGTGTGTGTGTGTTAGAGTGTGTGTGTGTTAGAGTATGTGTTAGTGTGTGTTAGATGTATGTGTGTGTTAGTGTGTGTTAGTGTGTGTGTTAGAGTATGTGTGTTTAGAGTATGTGTGTGTGTTAGTGTATGTGTGTGTTAGTGTATGTGTGTTAGTGTGTGTTAGTGTATGTGTGTTAGTGTGTGTTAGTGTATGTGTGTGTTAGAGTATGTGTGTTAGTGTGTGTTAGTGTGTGTGTGTGTTAGTGTATGTGTGTTAGTGTGTGTTAGTGTGTGTGTGTTATTAGTGTATGTGTGTGTTAGAGTATGTGTGTTAGTGTGTGTTAGTGTATGTGTGTGTTAGAGTATGTGTGTTAGTGTGTGTTAGTGTATGTGTGTGTTAGAGTATGTGTGTTAGTGTGTGTGTGTTAGTGTATGTGTGTTAGTGTGTGTTAGTGTATGTGTGTTAGTGTATGTGTGTTAGTGTATGTGTGTTAGTGTGTGTTAGTGTATGTGTGTGTTAGTGTGTGAGTGTTTGTGTTAGTGTGTGTGTCAGTGAATGTGTCTGTTATTGGGTGTGTGTCTGCTAGTGAGTGTGTTACTGTGTGTGTCTGTTACTGAGTGTGTTTGATATCTGTTAGTGAGTGTGTGTTTGTCAGTGAAAGTGTATGTTTTGTAAGTGAGTGTGTATGTATGTCTCGCTGAGTGTGTCTCTGTCAGTAAATGTGTGTGTCTGTTAGCTAGTGTGTATGCGTCTGTTCGTGAGAGTGTGTGTGTGTGTCTTCAGCATTTACCTTTCTCCAGTGTCGGACTCCCCAGTGTCCGCCACTCAGCTCCGGGAAATGCACATGCGCGGCAAGAGGCGCGCGCGCGCATTTAAACCGCCCATAGGAAAGCATTACTCAATGCTTTCCTATGGACGTTCAGTGTCTTCTCACTGTGATTTTCACAGTGAGAATCGCGGAAGCTCCTCTAGGAGCTGTCAATGAGACAGCCACCAGAGGCTGGATTAACCCTCAGTGAAACATAGCAGTTTCTCTGAAACTGCTATGTTTTCAGCTGCAGGGTTAAAACTAGAGGGACCTGACACCCAGACAACTTAATTGAGCTGATGTGATCTGGGTGTCTGTAGTGGTCCTTTAAGTGTGTGTGCATACCGCGGTCGCGGGGTCGCAGCCCTGTAACCCCTGCGACCAGGTGCCCGCCACCATGTGTTGTGACCCCGACCCGCACCGAGTAAGCGCGGGGGTGGGGGGGGCCCACGGATCAATTTTTGCACCGGGGCCCCATGGGTCATGTGTACGCCACTGTACGCTACGTCTCCACCTTGTTTGGTGGCTGTCGCCCTTTGCTGCCGTGTTGTGTATTTGTACCCAACTTCTTCTAGACAGTAAGCTCCTTTTACCTATTGTTCCTGTGTCACTGTGTAATTGTCTAATTTATTGTAAATTACCCCCCCTTTCATAATATTGTAAAGCGCTGCGGAATTAGTTGGCGCTATATAATTACCAATAATAATAATAATACCAATAATAATATCAATAATAATAATACTAATAATATCAATAACGCTAATAATAATAGCAATAATACCAATAATACTAATAATATTATTAATACTGTGTACTATAGACAGTCTGTGTCTCTCTGATGGCTGGTAAAAGGGACCTGGGGCTCCTGAACTCCATTTCCCATGATGCTCGGCCAGCTGAGAAGCTGGGTTAGCATTGTGGGAAATATAGTTCACATCAATGTGGGTGTTCATTAACACTGTAACCCCCGCTGTTACAGTGCTAGAGTCCCCACATTCAGTCTATAGAGCCCCTCCCCTCCCCCCCCTCACGGCAATGCACGTGTTAGTGAGCGGGGTGGGCGGGGCTCGGGGCTCCTCCCCCGGCGGATGACGTC